GCTTATTTAATGCTCGTGATTATCATAAATACTTTTATACAGGACTGTTCTAAACTACTTGCGGCCCTGGGGCAAAATTAAGTTGTGAAGCTTAATTTTGGGAATTAAACTTGATATCCTAAATTAGTGGTTTTACTACCTACGTATTTTATGGATGCCCCCTACTTATTATAAGTTTAAAAAAAAATGAATTTACTCTCAACAATGCTGCATGCTCCAAATATTTAAATTAAGAGTTAACAGAATGCAAAGAAAACTTAGAGTTAACAGAATGCAAAAAAAATTTAGAGTTAACAGAATGCAAAGAAAATTAAGAGTTAACAGAATGCAAAAAAAAATTTAGAGTTAACAGAATGCAAAGAAAATTTAGAGTTAACAGAATGCAAAGAAAAATAAGAGTTAACAGAATACAAAGAAAATTTAGAGTTAACAGAATGCAAAGAGAATTTAGAGTTAACAGAATGCAAAGAAAACTTAGAGTTAACAGAATGCAAAGAAAATTAAGAGTTAACAGAATACAAAGAAAATTTAGAGTTAACAGAATGCAAAGAGAATTAAGAGTTAATAGAATGCAAAGAAAATTTAGAGTTAACAGAATGCAAAGAAAATTAAGAGTTAACAGAATGCAAAGAAAATTTAGTGTTAACAGAATGCAAAGAAAATTAAGAGTTAACAGAATGCAAACAAAATTTAGAGTTAACAGAATGCAAACAAAATTAAGAGTTAACAGAATGCAAACAAAATTTAGAGTTAATAGAATGCAAAAAAAAAAATATTCAAAGAGCTAGAAAGAGGATGACAAAAGGAGTAAAAAACTGAAAGTTATCTAAGTCAAGAAAACATGAAGACAGCAAATACAAAAAATTACAAAGCAAGAACATTTACAGTAAAGATTGCAAGTTTGCTAAAATAAGAGTCACGCGATGCAAGAATGCAAGTTTGCTAAATTAAGAGTCACGCAATCTACTTATGGTTGAAGAACAAGTGACGATTTTTTAAGCAGCAATTATGATAGTATTTGTAGAAAAAAAAAGATGTAATTTTGACAACAACGATACAAAGTCTCAAACTTAGCAGTTAGAGCAGTTTCAACAACATGCGTTTTTGAGCCTTGTTTAATAGAAAGAGATTAGAAGATCCAGCCTAAATATGGCAATAATATTCCGTACACGTACAAGTAAGAAATTTATAAAGATGTATATTTGTAAAGATTTTTGAAGAGGCAGAGAATGGAATCAGGATTAAGAAAATGACAAGTACATTATGGAGACGCAACTATAGCATATGCTAACTTTGTAACGAATTGTTTATATAGTTTCCGTGGTAGGTCAATTGTGAAGGATAATATGAGAAGAGTCGAGTAACTTACTCAGCCAGAATGCTGTCATTTATTGATATAGAAATATCAAAAATACTGTGTTAATAAATGGCACAAAACAACTTTCTTTGGTTGAATGACCTTTAATTATTAAGTTCAGCTCACTACCGAGCATCATAACCCGCTTTGCAGACCAAGAGTAAGTGACTTTTAGAAAAACGAAGGATATTAGAGAAGAAGTCATGTTAGAAAGATGGCAATAGAGACAGCGGATAGTTAATGCACCAGGTGTTAGGATGTGGAATTTATGTTCGATATGAAGTTCACTTGAAAGAAAATCTTGTTACGTATAAAGTTTCTGAAAATTTCTGAACATTTTCGGACATTTTAAACCCTAAAATGAATTAATAAAGCAAATAGATTTATATCCGAATGCAAATGTTCGTTATTTACTCATATTTTACAGTTTTACTAACGTTAAAACTTTTTTAATTTCGGAATAAACTTTTTTAATTTCGGAATAAACTTTTTTTATTTCGGAATAAACTTTTTTTATTTCGGAATAAACCGTCTAGAGCGTTTTGATTTTTATCCAGAAATAAAGTTTTAACTCAGAAAAAAATATTTTTATTAATTCGTACGGTAAAAAAAAAAGAAATAATTTACTTTTACTATTCATTCATTTCAAGTGAATGAACCAAGAGCTACTAAGTAAAAAGTTTAAAAAATCATGAACTGTCTTGTAAATTATACAACTCACCTCGAAATGTTGCTCTAGCGATTCTGTCGTGTCGTCCATTTAAACCATGTGCCCATTTTAAATATATTGCTAATGTAGACATTTTTTTAATAATCAATTATTTTCGAATAAACTATAATATATTATAATTTATAATAAATTATAAATTCTTCTTCGTTATTCGTTTCATCAAAGAAAATAACATAAGCATTTATGTTATAAGTTATTAAACCAATTCATGTCAAAAAATAAAATACACATGCTTTATATTTTGATAAAAACTAGATCATTCTAGAAAGTGAACATTTCTTTATCAATTTTTAAAAAAATGTAAGGGCATTACTTTTATTGAATTCCATTCAAAAAGATCACAGGAATTTAATTCAAGCGTTTGAATAAAGCATTAAAACATCTATATGTACAATCAATTTGCTATTAAATTATGAAACTCAATTGTCAATACGCTACATTTTACAGCTCAGTAAACTTGTATTTAACTTTGTAAACTTATCTATAACTTTATAGGCTTTTCTGTAACTTTGTAGGCTTATCAGTAACTTTAAAAATGATTTTATTTTACGACATCAAATGAGGTGAAAGATGTAAAATGATTTCACTTTACGACATCAAATGAGGTGAAAGATGTAAAATGGAAGAGTTCAGGTAGAATTCCTCAGAAATGAAGTAAATAAAAAGCAGCTGTGGCACAGTGAGAAGCCATGGTGCAGTGGTTAGAGAGTTTGATTCAGAATCTAAAGAACCGAGACTCGGTGGCAGCTCTGGTCGTACCTGTGATACTGTCAGTGAAAGAGGTGTAAACTTCCAAGTTAAACGTACATTGCAGTGCTCTGTGATATATATATATATATATATATATATATATATATATATATATATATATATATATATATATATATATATTAATTTATTTATTTCGTCATATATAAGCATTTTACAATGTTCTCGTTTCCAAGTTTAATAAAATAAATCAAAATATAAAGAATGACAGGAGCAAGTAGAAGACATAAGTCTTGTCGTCAAGCCCCTACAATTTGCGTGATGTATTTTTTACAAAGTATCCATAATATATAAAATATAATAAATTATATTCACTGTATAAAGCAAGTTGAAATAACAATAATAAAATAAAATTTGCTAAATTAAATAAATAAAGTAAAGAAATTTAAAAGATTAGCTTTACAAGTTTTTCCAACAAAAAAATAAATAATCATTTTATATGGCAAGTTAAAAATAGCTATACTATAATAAGACTTCTAAAGTAAAATATAGAAATAAAATATATACAATAATTATTTACATTTTTTTTTGTGTCATTATCTCATTATATACAAATACTCGTTATATAAAGCAAATAAATATAAACTTTATTGTAATAAGAAAAATACTTCAAAAGTAAAGTAAATAGCAAAAAAAAAAAAAAAAAAAAAAAAAAAAAAAAAAAAAAAAACAGCAAGAAAAACAAATAAGTAACGTAAAAAAAATTAAATTTTAAAACTAAAAATATAAAAGTATGTTTGTATCTGTTAAGTCGATCAAATTCTGTTTAACTACATTTTTAAAAGATTGTATTAAGGTTATACTTTACATTTTGTCGTCAAGAATTCTGTTCCATAGACGAGGTCCTCTATATGAAATTGAGTAATCTGTTTTTTTTAATGTTGACTTAAGTAAGTTAAAATTGTGAATAGAGCACCTCGTTAAGTATTTATGAGAAATAATTAAAAAATGATTGTTAAAGAATTTAGGAAGCATGTAGTTTTGATATTTAAACATAAATAATAGGTTTTGGTACAAATTTAACTCATAGACGTTTAAAGCTTTGATTTCACGGAGTAACGGTTTGGCGTGGGCACATTTATGCATATTACATATAACTCTACTGGCTTGTTTTTGTTTTATATATATTTTAATTAATGCTGATGAACAAGTACTGGCCCAAGCAATGTTACAGTAGCTACAGCGCCGGCTTTTAGGGGGGGGGGGGCGAGGTCGTGCGTTGCACGAGGGCGGCAAGTAAATAGGGGTGGAGAATTTTATTAGTCACAAGTTTTAATTTTCCAGTAGTATATTAAAAAGTTAAAGTAAATTAAAAGATTTAACGACCTTTGCAAAAAAAACACGATTTTAAATTTGAAGACAAAAAATTACTACATTTACTTAATTATAATTAAAAAAAAAAAACACACGATTTTCTATTGTAATTTGTAGTATCATTTGTGCGTTATTTCCCCTAGGAGTCATTTCGAAAAGTTGCAAAAAATTTTTTATAAAGAAGTTCAAAAGTTTTTATTTTTTGTTATTAAATGTTAAGTTGACTCAATTTAAACAGTTTTCAGAAAGTTTAGTTACTTTTTTTTTTTATTTCTTTAATAATTTTATGAATGTGTTTGAGAACTTTGTTAAATTTTTTTTTTTTCAAATTGTAGAAATAATTTTATCTTAAAAAATATTCTGTCTCATGTCACATAAAATTTCAAATTCTAGAAAAAAGTTGTCTGGTTATGAGTACAGAAAAAGAAAGTCCGTTAAAGATCAAAAATTTGAAAAAATTAAAAAATTCATGTGCATTGAAAAATATGTTGCTTATAAAAAACCTGACGAAGGTCGTGAAGATTTTAACCCTGATGCTTCAACTATCTCTACGACTATGTCCAATAAAATTGGAGAACCTTCAACAATACTCAAAAATAGTTGTATAACTTCATTGCAAATTGAAGTAGATAATGAATCAGTTATTTTAAAATAATCGAATGATTTATCGGAAAATTTTTTACAAGAAACACCTAATTTATTGGATTGTGGAAATTGGCCAATTGTTCGATCTAGCAACTTTGTGAACCATTTAATCAAACTTGCTCCTTTTCAAATTACAAAGGAAAAATACCCTGAAGATAGAAATGGTCGACATTTTTCTAGCATTTGTTACAATAGAAAGCTTGGGAATGGAGAAACCTTTTGCCGTAGATGGTTGGTTTATTCAGATTCTAAAAACTCCGTATTTTGTTTTTGCTGTCTACTTTTTGATAATAATTCAAAGTCAAACTTAGTCTCTGATGGTTTCAAGAAATGGAGACATTTAACTGAAACATTGGGAATTCATGAAAACAGCGTCTCTCATATGAAATGTTATCAACAGTGGGTAGAAACTGAAATAAGATTAAAAACTGGAAAAACTATAGATAATGAAGAAATTAAAATTATAGAAAAAGACAGTTTGCGATGGCAAAATGTTCTTCTTCGGCTGATGAATATCACTCTTTACCTAGCTGAAAATAATATGGCTTTTCGAGGGAGTTCGGATAAACTGTTTACGCCTCAAAACGGCAAATTCTTAGGACTAATACAGATGGTTGCAAAATTTGATCCTGTGATGCAAAAGCATTTAGCACTTGCAATAAAAGGTGACACTTCAGACCATTATTGCGGGAAAAATATTCAAAATGAGTTAATAGATTTAATGTCTCAAAAGGTTAATGATGAAATAATAAACCGAGTCTTGAAAGCCGTTTACTATTCAATCATTGCTGATTGTACACCTGATATTTCTAGAAAAGAACAACTTTCTCTTACTATTCGAATTGTTGACTTGTCATTAGACATTAGAGCGGAAATTAAAGAGTACTTTTTAGGATTCTTTTCTGTTTCTGATTCTACAGGCTTAGGACTTACTGAGGTTTTAATCGAGTTGCTAACTAAGCATGGACTTGAAATCTCTAACTGCAGAGGTCAAGGGTATGATAATGGATCAAATATGAAAGGAAAGATTAATGGTGTACAAAAAAGGATTTTAAATCTTAATCCTTTAGCATTATATGTTCCTTGCGGCAACCATAGCTTAAATTTGGTAATAAGTGACTCTGCACGGTCTTCAGTAAAATCTATAGCTTTTTTCGGTATTCTTCAGAAATTGTTTACTCTGTTCTCAGCTTTAGTGAGCCGATGGAAAATTTTAATTGATCATGTTAAAATTGTGCATTTAAAGTAACTCTGTGACACGCGGTGGGAAGCAAAAATAAGTAGTGTTAAAGCCGTTCGTTATCAAGTTGGTGATGTACATGACGCTTTGATAGCATTGTCAGAAATTGAAGGATGTAATCCTGAAACTGCACATGAAACGATAACTCTAGGAGAGCAATTAAAAGATTTTAGCTTTCTTGTCTCTTTAATTGTCTGGTATGACGTTCTTTTTCAAATCAATATTGTTAGTAAAACTCTTCAAGAAAAAGACATGGACATCACTCAATGTGCAAAGTTATTGAAAAACTGTTGTTCATTTTTAGAAAACTATAGAAAATGTGGTTTTAAAGATGCAATTATAAAAGCAAAGGATTTGGCGATAGAATTACAAGTGGAGCCTGTTTTTAAACCACTTAAAAGAATAATACGAGTGAAACGCCATTTTGACGAACCAGCCGAAGATGAGATTTATTTATTTTCTCCTGAAAAAAAATTAGAAATCGATTTCTTCAATCCTCTTTTAGGCACATCTTTAATTTCAATGAGAGAAAGATTTATACAGTTGGAGAATTATTCCGAAGTTTGGGGTTTTTTGTATAATGTCGATAGTTTGCAAAAAAGAGAAGAAATTCTAAAATCATGTTAGCTCTTCAAAGTAAACTTACCGTAAATCTAAAATCGGACATTAATGGTATTCTCCTTTGCGATGAACTGATGAGCATTAAAGCTTTTCTTTCTGAAATGGTCAAGGATAAAATTACTCCTATTATTGTTTTAAACTTTATAAAACAGCACAAAATGCAAGATTTGTATCCAAACACATGGATTGCAATGCGAATTTTGCTAACAATACCTGTCACTGTAGCGAGTGGAGAAAGAAGCTTTTCCAAAATGAAACTAATAAAAACCTATGTGCGGTCAACAATGTCGCAGGATAGACTTTCAAGTTTAGGAACCCTATCGATTGAAAAGAATATTGCTGAAAATCTTGATTTTTCAACCCTAATCAAAGATTTTGGTGATAAGAAGGCTTGCAAGATTAATTTAAAAAATTAAATGTATTTTGTGTAAAACATAAACAAAAAATGTTTCTTTGTATGTAGCGTTTTATTACAAAGTATTATTTTTGAATTCGATTTGTTATTATTTTCCATGTAATTTACCAGCACGTTTATAAAATTTTCAGGGGCGGCAAGACAAATTTCGCACGAGGGCGGCAAAAAGGCTAAGGCCGGCACTGAGTAGCTAATGTAACTATGAATAAAAGAGTAGTATATATCTTTTAAGCATTTTTTACTTAGTAGGTGTTTTGTTTTATACGTAATGCCTATTGTTTTAGAAATTTTGTTTTCAACGAGCGTAATATGACTTTTCCAATTAAGATGTTCATCAAATATTACTCCCAGGATTTTCATTGACACGACTCTTTTTACAATAATTCTGTTTATGACTAACTGAGGAAGTTGAAGAGGCAAACTATCTGACTTAGATGGCTTATGAAATAAAACATATTTAGTTTTACTAATATTTAAAGAGAGTTTGTTTGCTTTGAACCAATCCTCCAGGTTTGTCAGCTCACAATTTACTATGGTAAAAATTGTTTTAATATTGGAGTCGGAATAAAAAATAGTAGTATCATCTGCGAAAAGAATAAAGTTAAGCATATCTGAGGAACGGTATATGTCATTCACATAGATTAGAAACAGTAAGGGTCCAAGTATAGAGCCTTGAGGAACTCCACAACTAACTGTTTCTAGCTTTGAACAAGATGTGGTAAAAGGTACTCCTTGTTTTCTATTTTTAGGTAACTTTGAAATCAATTTAGGTTGATGTTTTTTACTCCATATTTTTCGAGTTTTTGCAAAAGGATTTTATGGTCGACAGTGTCAAAGGCTTTTGACAAGTCAATAAACAAGCCAAGAGTATAATTATTTTTAGCAAAGCCCTCTAAAATTCGACTTGCTAAATCAGTTACTGCATGATGAGTTGAATGACCTTTTCGAAACCCAAACTGTTTAATGAATAAGATATTATGTTTTTCAAGGTTTTTTAAATTTATGTTTTTTAAATATATATATATATATATATATATATATATATATATATATATATATATATATATATATATATATATATATATATATATATATATATATATATATATATATATATATATATATATATATATATATATATATATATATATATATATTTAAAAAATTAAGTATTTTAAAGTAAACCAGAATGGCTTCTCCTATTTTTAAAAGTACATTTAAACTAAAAACCGTACCTAATTAATAAACATTATTTAAATTAATTTGAAGAGAAATGCTATTTTTGTGTATTATGAACATGCTTTGAAATTACCCAGTTTTTTTCATTGAAATTACTTAGCATAAAATCCTAAAATTTCAGTGATTATAATTGGTTTTTGAATAAAAACAAAAGATTGTAAAATGTTTTATTATTTTAACAATACTAAATATTTTTCTGCAGTTTAAATTCAAAAAATTTGAATTTTTATCGTTCAAAGGTTTGAGTTATTAAAATTTATAATAAAATAACTGATTTTTTTTGTTTGTTGCGGAAATCAAAATATTATTGTTTTAATAAAAATAATGTTAATAACGAATCATTAAATTCCGAAAATTAGTTCTAATTGTCAGGTTACTATTTTTTTACTTAATCTTATTTTTTTTTCTCGCTTTTTTAAAGTGCTCATATAGCCAAGTGATCTGGGTAATATAGAAGTAGAACACTTTTGCTACTTTTTTAAAACCTCCCTGTTTTTAAGAAAAACTTTTAGTTGTCCAAATATCTAAGTGGATAATGAGTAGTAGTCCTTAAATATTGTTTATTTGCAAATAATAATTCCAACATAATTATTTTTGAAAATATTCTAATTTTAGCTCAAGGTGCTTATATTACCCTAACTTACCCTAATTTTAAATTTTTGATATGTTTAAGGAATAATAAAAATTATCAATGTCATAAAAGAATAGAAATAATCCATTTAGTGGTTAACTCTTTTAATTTTGCAAAAAAATATTTTTTTTTTTTTTTTTTTATAAACACATGTCAATTTATAAAAGAAATATTATTTGAACTTAATAAATAAGACACCTTATCACAAAGAAAAAAAATAAAAATAAAAATACTTTTTAGAGTTAAAAAAAGACCATCCAAATTTTTTAAAATTTTTTTTCTTTTTTTTAATTCTTTTTGTTTTTCAGTGTACGTTTTGACAGGTTTTCCAAAATATAAATTTATTTTTTGCATTCTTGCATTCTTAGAACATACTCATTAAAGAATTTTTTTTTTTTTTACATTTACATTTTTGTTGTTGTTTACAAAGCTAAACAGACAAGGCTTCTGAAAGAAGATCGTAATGATCTCATCATCAGAACCTTTTACAAGTTTTTTAAAATCAATACATTAACAAAACTTAGAACTTACAATGAATCGTGATATAAATTGGAAATATAAATCAAACCACTAATGTTATATATAATAAAAAGTTTGATCATATTAGCTGATCTTATAAAAACGTAAATATATAAATACATATATATACAAAGTAAATACAGTAATACATCTCTTTTTAATAAGCAAGAGAAAATACAACAGTCTTACAATTAAAAAGGCAAATACATGGTTGTTATTAAAAGTATTTAAATAAATCATCAATAAATAAAATAAAATTTTTAAGTTTACTTTTAAAGATCGGAAATGGATTGGATATATCAAAATTAGGTACATCAATTTTATTCCAAAGATAAGGTGCTCGAAATGTAATGCAAAATTTGCTAAATTTTGTTATGCATATAGGTTCATGTACAAAATTTTTATTTCTAAGTAAATATTTCATAATTGGGCTTGAAGAAAAAAGGTCTTTAAAGATAGGTAAAGTTAAATCGTTTTTCCACATGTAAATAAAGCATAAAATGTTATAAACATTGAGTTCGTAAATATTAGGTATTTTCATCTCCATAAATAATGGTTTGGAATGAGTAAAATGATCCGCAAAATTAATCAATCGGATTGCATGTTTCTGACAGTGAAAAAGACATTTTAGCTTACTTTTTTCGTTGCTTCCCCACGCCTTGTTGGCATAGTTAATATAGGTGTGAATAAATGAGTAATAAAGTTGGGTTAAGACTTTTTTGTTTAAATATAATCTGGATTTATATAAGACTCCGTTACTTTTAGATATTTTTTAGCAAATATATTCTATATGTGGTTTCCATGTAATGTTCTCGTCGAGAACCACTCCTAAAAATTTAGTAACAAAAACTCTTTTTATTTCAACTTTATCAATAAATATTTTAAACAAACTTTGGGGTAAATAGCGTTTTTTAGAGAGTGAATGGAAAAGAACCCATTTGGTTTTATTAAAGTTAAGAGTAAACTTGTTACATTTGAACCAAGTAGATATGTTTTTAAGTTCATCATTCATTGTAGAAAAGAGTTTGGATATGTCATTATTAGTCAGGAATAAGTTGGTGTCGTCAGCAAACATGATACTCATTAAGTTTGAGGCTTTATTTAAGTCATTTATATAAATTAAAAACAAAAGTGGCCCCAAGATAGAACCTTGGGGAACATCACAGGAAATATTTAGTAGATGACTTTGGTTATAGTTATTAATAAAAACAAATTGTTTGCAGTTTGATAAGTAACTACAAAGCCATTTTATAGTTATATAGTTTAATCCGTAGTATTTTAGTTTTTCAAGCAGGATTTCATGGTCGACAGTATCAAAAGCCTTCGACAAGTTAATAAAAACACCTAATGTAAATTGCAATCTTTGAAAGGAATTTGAGATTTCTCGTACAAATTGGATGATTGCATGTTCGGTAGAATTATTTTTTTTGAAATTAAATTGATTATTATATAAAAGATTATTGGAGGCAAGATAATTGTATACTCTATTGTTCATAATACGCTCTGAGATTTTTGAAAAAGTAGAAAGGATAGGTATAGGGCGATAATTGCTGATATTGCAACAGTCTCCTACTTTCAAAATCGGAATAACTTTTGCAATTTTTAGACGATCAGGAAAAACTCCTTGGTGGACAGATGATTTATAAACTTTATAAAGAATATTTTTGAGATGATCAAGACACTCAATAATTATCTCACCATTAATTCTATCAGCTCCGATAACTTTTATTTTTTTAGCGATTTGAAGGCGATTTCGAATTCATCAAAAGATAATTCTGAATATATTTCTTTGGAACAGTTGCAATCATCCATTGGATGATTGCAACTGTTCCAAACATTACTAAGAAATCATTAAAGGCGACTGGGGTAAAGGGAACTTTATTAGCTAATTTAGGGCTGATTTTGATAAAGTATTTATTGAATTTCGTTAGATTTAGCTTTTTATTCATGAATACTTTTGTTATCAAGTATAATCATTTGGGGAGGGAACCTGAGCATGTTTTTTGATTGGCAGTAATTTCTTTTATTACTTGCCAAGTGTGCCTAGACTTATTTTTAAATTTGTCTAATATTCTAGAGTAATATTTTTTTTTAAGCGTTTACGAATTTTTTCGAATAAATATTTATAATCTTTGTATATTTTTTCATTTTTAGACGATTTCGTTTTAAAATATTTTATATACAACTTCTGTTTTGTTTTTGAAACCCTTGGTAACCAAAGGGTTATTAAAATTTTTCATTTTAATTGTTTTTTCAATAACTGGAAAGTTAGCGTCATATACGGCGTAAAATGTTTTAAAGAAGGTCTCATAAATGGTGGCAGCATTCCCCTTAAAATTAATATGATCCCAGTGCAAAAGAGATAACTGATTTTTAAAGAGATTCATATTAGTAAGATTAAAATCTCGAATAAATATTGTTTTAGAATTATTATTAATCGAAGCGTTTGAGTTAAGAGTCAGAAAGACTGGGAAATGATCAGAAATGTTAGATTTTAAAATGCCTTTTTGAATGTCATTGTTAAAGATATCAGTTGTAATGATATTGTCTATTAGAGATGTTGAGTTTTTAGTTACACTAGTAGGGCGATTAATCAAAGGAACTGCTCCAGC